AGATAAATTTGTAATTTTGTAATTTGTACAGGGTCATTTTTGTCTTTTTACATTTTAGCTATTACTACACTGTCTATAAATACTCAATGTATCACGCCATTTTGATGAACTGAAAATACAGGATTTTCCCACCATTTTTCCATTGTCTTCTTCAGCTCTTCCATTGCAAAATTATCACTAACCCTCTGTATAAATCTCAAAATCCCATAAAAAGCTGCTCACTTGAGTGTTCAATGGCAAAATCCAGTGGTTGTACCATGTTTTTGGGCACCAAGAACTGTACTCTTCAATCAGAAAATCCCATATCAAGAATGGTTACATCAGGAAATTTGGCAGAAGATAGAATTTTTATGGAGTTTGAATATGGGGTAAATTCAGGTTTTATGGCTTCCATTGATAACTTTTTGTTTTCATGTGCACCAAATATGTTACTAAAAGGCCTTGCTAATGGTGCAAAAGGGATTTTAGGGTTAGGAAACACTAGAATTTCACTACCATCACAAATTGCTAGCACAAATGGTTTTTTTCAGAGGAGATTTTCTCTGTGTTTATCCTCATCAGATGGAGTAATTTCATTGGCAGAGAGTTCTGAGTTGACACTTCTGGGTAATGAGGTTTCAAGATCAATGATGTACACACCCCTGATTTCCAAGCCAGGTGGGGCAGGAGAAGAGTACAAGATCAATGTTAAATCCATCAAGATTTCTGGTAAGAAATTGTCTATGAATAAAGAAAATATTGGAGGGGCAAAAATAAGCACAATTGTACCTTACACGACTATGAAGAGAAAAATTTATGGCAAATTTGTTGAAGGTTATATTAAGGCTGCCACTTCCTTGAACACGACAGGGGTGGCTCCTGTGGCACCATTTGGGGTATGTTTTGGTTCTAAAGGGGTTGAAAACTCAAGATTAGGGCCAAATGTGCCAATTATTGATCTTGTTTTGCAAAGTGAGCTGGTGAAGTGGAGGATTTATGGGAGGAATTCAATGGTGCAAGTTAGTGATGAAGTGATTTGTTTAGGGTTCTTGGATGGAGGACTGAATCAAAGGGATCCATTTATTATTGGGGGTTATCAATTGGAGAATCATGTTTTAGAATTTCATTTAGGCACCTCTATGCTTGGGATTTCTTCATCATTGTTAATGGGACGGAAAAATTGCTCTGAATTCAAATTGCCTAGAGAGATTTCTTGATTGGGCCAGCACTGCAAGTATTCCTATTAGTTTTGGAGAATGAAAAAAAAATACTTAACACAATTTAGCCGAAATAATGTTGAGAATTTTATTCATTCAACCGTGTCTTTCATATACAATGGGAATGTGTATATATACAACTAAAAAGGAATCTTTTCCTAACAAATTTACACAGAGAGAGAGAGAGGTTGCTGTCAACAAATCTAACTTGCCCAACCAATTTCTTTCTAGATTATTCTGCCATTGCTCTGTCATCAATTCCATGTGATTATTTCTCCAGCTGTGCAGCAAGTCCACGTGGTTTCCTTCTTGCCAATATTTCAGCTGCGCCATCTTCGACCCTGTTTCCTTCCAGTGTTCCAGCTGAGCTATCTTCTAACTTTAATAGCCCCCCACAAGATGGAGAGTATATATCCATTACTCCCATCTTGGACATGTAAAAGTAAAAACTTTGAGAACTCAAAGCCTTAGTCAAGATGTCTGCAATTTGTAGTGTGCTATTGACGTGTTGGGTAACAATG